TTATTGTTGTCTTCCTCCTCCATGGGCTTCTCCAAGCTGTGTCCTGTATGTTTCTATCATCTAGTGTCAGGGGGAAGTGGGAAACCATCTCCCAACGTTGAGGGGGTGGAATGGGAAGAGGCATGGAGGGAGAATGGTAACAAAGTGTAGGCAAAGGCTCCCATGTCAGTTACAGAAGAACATGCCTTAGAAATCCAAGCTGCCAAGACAGGCCCCATGACCAAGGCAGCAAACAATGAATTTTGATCTACTTTGATTATATATATATTTTTTGTGTCAGTAATGGGGTTTGAACTCAGATCCTAGGTGTGGTCCCTTAGTCTCTTTGCCTTTTTGTTCAGGGCTGGCACTCTACAACTTGAGCCTCAGCTCTACTTCTGCCTTTCTGCTATTGAGTTAGAGAACTGCAATCCACTAAGATTACAGGCATGAGCAGTCAGCGTCCAGCTCTTTGATTCACTTTGAGGAACACCAGAAAAATATTTGTGCGCTGGTCTTGGGGCTTGAACTCAGGGCCTTGATGTGCTGTTTTTGAGCTTTTTTTTTTTTTCTTTCCAGCTCAAAACTAGCACTCTACCACTTGAGCCACAGTTCCACTTTTGACTTTTTTGGTGATCAACTGGAGATGATAGTCTCATGGACTTTCCTGCCTGGGCTGGCTTCAAATTAAGAGCCTCCTGAGTAGCTAGGGTTATAGACGTGAGGCACCAATGCAATTTTTTTTTTTTAATGGAGAAGGAAAAGTGAGGATAAAAGATCTCCAGATGTGTGTATGACAATATTAACCTTGTAACCAACCTATGGAATACAAACTAAACAGATGAGCACAACTCTGAATAAGAAAAGACTTAAATTCTTGGGTGCTGGGCTAAGTCAAACATTAACTGAGTCTCTAGTTAGTGAATTTCTCTTAAAAATATCATTCTTACTTTTTACCCCACAAAAGAAATCTTTATTGCTTACAAACACATTTCTTTTCCATGGGCCTCGTTCTTTGTCTCACACACTCTTCTGTTATTTTCTCTCAGCTTTGGATGGGAGGACATTTTCAGAGATCCACACTGGTTAGAAGAATGTAGAGTCAGCCAGTCACTGGTGGCTCACGCCTATAATCCTAGCTACTCAGGAGATTGAGATCTGAGGATCATGATTTGAAGCCAGCTCACGAAAGAAAGTCCATGAGACTCTTATCTCCAATGAATGATCAGAAAAGCTGGAAGTGGAGCTATGGCTCAAAGCACTAGTCTTGAACAAAAGAGCTCAGGGACAGCACCTAGGTTCTGAATTCAAGCTCCACAACCAAAGACAACAACAATACAAAAAACGCAGAGTTGGTAAGAGAATGAGGTGGAGGTACTGGGGTCAGGGGTACTTCTTCAGGAACTCCACTGGAATGAGAGGTAGGATTGCAGGGAGTGCTGTGAAGTCCCTGAAGATGGAGCTGAGAGAATCTGACATGCTAAAACTAAATGACTTCTCCTGGAACTTGAGTGGCTTCCATTGGGGAGGGAGGAGAGGGCCAGAGAAGGAGGCCCAGTCGAATATACCCAGCTGTTCCCCAAATGCCACTTGCAATCTCTTTCTAAAAATGAAGTGTTAAGACCTGGACAGGAGAACAGAGATGGCTGCCTCCCTTTTTGCTTCTATATATGGAAACTGTGGTCATCTGTTGTAGGTGGGGTACGTGCACTTGAAGGAATTAGTTGACCTTTCTTTGTCTGTGTGTGTGTGTGTGTGTGTATGTGTGTGTGTGTGTAAATACAGATGGTGGAGCATCTGAAGATAACCAAAGAACTTTCGAGTGAACACTCAGTAGCCGCTAGCCAAGTGGGGCAGAATAATGCCTCCTGTGAGTGGCTTAGTTTAGTTATAATTAAGTTATAATTCAATTAAGTTATATATATATATATATATATATATATATATATATAAAATCAAGTTATAATTCAATTGACATTCAATTAACTGACATTTAATTTAGATAATTTTTATTTATGTGTTGTATGTTGAAGTTATTTTAGACATATCAGATTGTTGGGAAAATGGAGGAGAACAGGAAAGGAATAGGTCTGACTCAATAGTCAACAGGTGAGGACTGTTTTTTGAGGAAGAGTGAACGGCACAGACCTTCCCATGGGTTTGGAGGTTGTGGGAAGGACTGGATTTTGGGGTGGGCTTATATAGAGCTTAACAAGGAAGCAGAGAATTTAAAAAAAATGGGCTATGGTTTCCTTGGGATCAAGGGTGATGTCCTTGGCCCACAGTGGAAGCTGGGTATGGGGGCTAGTATCTCCTGGGGGCCAAGGTCAGAATGACCTGTCTGTGGACAAGCATGTGAGCACGCACCTTGTATTTTGTTTGATCCTGGGGAATAAGGCAGGACTCAATCATTCAAAGATTAAATAAAATTCATTTAAAATTAATTTTATCTCTATATAAAATGTCTAATATTTAATATTCTATTATTAATATATACCATGCAATATCAATATCATTGATA